AATAATAATAATAATAATAATAATAATAATAATAATAATAATAATAATAATAATAATAATAATAATAATAATAATGAGAATAATAATAATGAGAATAATAATAATATTTTAATTAATCTTAAATATTCATATTATCTTTAAATATTACTTGTTGATTATCATTACAACCCCAAAAATCCTCTGGAATTACTCGTTTCAGCACTGCACGAACAAATGTAGTAACCTACATATATTAAAATATAAAGACTATGTATTAGAAAATATAAATATCAAATCATAAGAATATTCATTATAATATTTTGTATCTGTTAAATATAAGATTCGCAGGTGTTTTTACACTATTTTTCAAATTTATTTTTTGGTCATCAGGTATTTTATTGTATATTTTGACATTGCTAAGAGATAAATTTTCTGACAAATCAGTATTTGATTCCCGGAAAGTTCTAGCACTATCACCATTATTGTATTTGGTGAATTTAGAAATTTCTTTATCTTGTGAATAGGAATTATCTAGAGTCCACTTTTTTGGCTAACCAGTAAATATTTTATTGATTCAATCAATAAAATATAACCAGAGAACGTTACTTATAAAATTATTTCTATAATCATCACAATACCTATTATATATAAGACTTACTGTTACTTTTGGTGAATATTTCTTATCATTCAAATTTTCAAGATCCGGGATGAAAATTTTAGACTCATGTACGTCCATATACAAATCTTGTGGTATCAATTCTGTAGAAGTTTCCTGAGATGATACTTTTTCAAAAATCGGTTCCCCTTAAAGATTTCTTGAGATGATATCACATTGTTCAAATTTTCCAAATCCATATATATATCTTGCGGCATTCTCTCTATAAAAGTTTCCTGAGATGAAAATCCTTTAAAAATGCCTTTTCTTTTAGAGGTTACTTGAAATGATGCCCCGTCATTCAAGATTTCCAAATCTGAGATAAAAATTTCAGGTTCATGCTGTATTTCCCTATACATATCTTGAGGTGTCGTTTCTTCAAAAGTTTTCTGAGATAGCATCCTTTCAAAAGTTTGTTCTCCTTTAAAGGGTTCTTGAGATAACACTTCTTCAAAGCTTCATGAGATGGCATTTTTGAAATTTTTTGATATCATTTGGAATTTTGAAGATCAATATTCGGTTTAGATAATTCACTAATTGCAATACCTAATTGATAATAAAGAAAGTT